TTATATTTTAATATTAGCTAGTTCTTAATCTTAATTTATTTAAATTTATATACCTTCAAAAGGCTCTTATGATTTCTTTTTTCTGTTTAGTTGTTCGTGCCGTACCTGTAAACTAGCTTTTTAGCTAAGCGTACCGACCACGTTAAATATATTGATTGATTGCTTGATTGATTGGCAAAGCTCTTTGTTGTGTGTTTTTGTTGGCTATTTTGGGGGTTGACATTGCACAAAACCTGGCAAAATGCAAAAGGTGGTTATGTGTGCTCATGCAACTAACCAATGGAAGCATTGCGATTATGTAATTCATGCAAAGTCAGTGAGCAGAAAACAAAAGATGTGCCGGGTTAAGGACCTTCCAACATAAATCTTGGCCTGTTTGTTTGCTACTTTGATGTTTACCGGCCTTCCAAACCATTTTCCTCCATTAACTATTCGAAACTATGATTTGAGTCTCTCATTTCTTAGCATTGTTTTTGAGTTAGAAACCCATTCAAATACGCACTGAAAAATCGAGTTTCTCAGACGCGATAAAAGCGCTTGATAGATTCTCTGCTGCCAACAAAATCTCGCTGGGCCTTCTTGGTCCTTAGCAGCTTTTAAATTCAAAATGGCGGCTTTTTGACCAACTGGAAATGATGTTTCGGTTTACAGATTTTTCAATTTGCAACTTAAAGTTTCCTGACAACCCTAGCTGTCTTTTTCTCGATCGTGTTAGTTACTGAATTGCAAAAAGTGAAACAGCAAAGCAGTCAGTCCAAGAAGAAAGGAAACCCAGGTCAGGGAAGTGTCAAACCTGATTCTACCAACTTTAAACCCGCAACGCCTGTCCTTAGCGTAAGAAATAAACAGAGCGATGTTACGGCGATCCCTGAACGGATGACCTTCACTCCAGTAATCAGATGTGGTGCAGTTGATTCTCTCGTAGATTCCTTTGAAAAAGAAAGGAAAAGGCAAAAGTATGGAAGAAGCCAAATATATAGCGATGACACAGGTACCGGTTCATCCACAGTCGTTCTTGTAAAGTAATTTGAGATGGCCAGAGATAAGTATAAAGACACGGGTATTAGAATTTTAAGGATCTTCGAAGCGGTCTATGTTAGCCTACTGTTTCCAATAGACCCCTTGCATAAATGGTGCCCAAATTTGAATAACAATACTTTATCCTTAGCCTCGTACTTATGTTTCCAGACAAAGGATTTTTCACATGAATGTGAGGCTTAGGATGTAGTAAAGAATTGGTTCATGCTTAGCGTACGTATATTGGAAATTTGGAAAGCACGAGAGAAGCGAAAGAGTTNATGTTTCCAGACAAAGGATTTTTCACATGAATGTGAGGCTTAGGATGTAGTAAAGAATTGGTTCATGCTTTGCGTGCGTATATTGGGAATTTTGGAAAGTACGAGAGAAGCGAAAGAGTTGCCGAGAGTAACTCTAGCTTCTTGAGTGCTCTCCAAACTTCCCAAGTGTATCCATAACTCGATATACGCACAGCTAAAAGCGTGAACCAATTCTTTTATAACATGGCGGCAATAACTTGGGCGTTCTTGCGATGCACAGTGAAGGAACACAAAAGTCATTAGAATCAGTTGAGTAACTTGAGTTGAACGAAAACGCTTAACCTGGTTTCTAAAATTGTCAATGAAACATTCGCTTCTTCGAATGAATTAAAATGAAAATGTAGACAAACAAAGTCAAAATACTCAAGCTTAAGTAAACATCTTAGCCAGTTAAAGGTCAAAGGCTCGAAGCAGGGTTTGGATTGTGTAGAATAATCTTCACATTGCCGAAACTTAAACAAAAGGAACTTGCTCTAGACTCGACGGAAATTTTGCAGCTAAACTGAAACTGCACACTTCATGTTATACACGCACGGCCGTGCGTATATAGAGATTTCGTTCATGATGGCTCAATAGGAATTAGGCAGGTTATAAAAAAGTATTATAACACAACTAAAGCAAAGCGCGCGCTCTGATTGGTTAATTTAGCGTCTACTATTTAACAAATGGTAAACGCCATAGCGTGCACTATTGAGTTATGGATGCACGCGGGAGGTTGCTAAGCACGAAAGAAGCGTAAGAGTCGCACGAGGCGATAGCCTCGTGCGACTCTAGCTTCTTGAGTGCTAGAGTGCCGAAGGCTGACGCAGATAATTGATCTGCAAATACATTGACAAATCCCGATATTTTGCGATAATGATAAATCGAATCCAATAATTGTTTTATCATTCGATCACCATGTTTGTTTTGATATTTACATCACTCTCGTCAGCTCAGGGAAGCGACCTGCCATTTTTCGCACAAGAGCGCGGTTACAATTACCCATGAGCAGAATATTATTTGCAGCAAAACACATTTAGACGTAATTGCGCATGAGCAGACCATTATTTGTAGGTAGTTATTGCAGGTCACGCGGTGACCTCTCGGCCAATGAAAAGGAAGACAAAATGCAACGAATGATAAAAAGCTCTTACCAGCACAGCTACTCGTGATCCTGGCCGCACAGATACAGGGGAATACAAACAGGTATAGAAGACAAACAAACATTAAACCGTGGAAGATCAGACTCAACGATGGAGTATGATGCTTGACAGTCGAGGCAACTTCTTCTGACAATAATATGACAGTAACCAGGAGGGCTAATCCGTACGTAAACCAGTGTAGTACAAACCAAACGCTGTAAGCTGATACTGTATTGAAAACAACTGTACACAAGCGTTCATGAATCCTTATGACGTCATCAAGGGTTCCATTCTGAACATCCCGGATTAGCCTGAAGGAATCTTGTGTAATAGTACCTGGAATAAATATTTAAAACAGACATCATTTATCGTTTGGCATCACGCCGATGTTCAAGCTACGTAGATGTGGCCAGTTTTGAGTTGTAAATGCATTTTCTTTGATACTTTGAGCCTGCTACTACTGACCAACCAGCGAGTGTACATTCATGCATGTATATATTCGCAAAAATATTCTGGCATTGACTCAAAGACAGTCCCACTGGCCAGAAGTCATCTGACCACCCCCCTGGCTAGGAGATTGGCCTGTCACGCATGCATGTGGCATGGACCACTCCAGCAGGGTTCCATGTCAACATAGAACCCTCAAACAAGGTTCAACAACTGAGTAAAGTACCCAGAAACACAGTCAATATCAAGGTTATTTAACACTGAATCTCAAAATCTAGATAGGTGGGGGTGACACCCTCCCTTCCCCCTGCTTTTGACAGCTGGCCGCCAGCAAACCACCAGCAGATAGGCCAGTGACTGGGCCATGTGCCCAGCCAGGCCATGACAGAGTCTCCCCTGGATTTAAAGTCGCTAGCTTAGCCTGGATTCGGGTTGCAGTCCAGGCGAAAACCTAGCGGGCATGTTTTTGCAAAATCACCAGATGGCCCATGTACACCTTGATTTCACAACTCCTAAAGGCCTTAAAATCACATCAAGTGATGAGAAAAACAAATAAAAATAAGAGGAAAACAAATGGGTGTGCGGGAGACACGTTCTTTAACACTGTTTTCATAAATCCAGACATATGTTATATATATCACAGAATTTGAAGGCTTCCTAGCTAGTTCATGTGTGCACAATCACATGCCAGTAACTCACACACAGCCAATTCTTAGAAATTTTGTCAGGTTTCCCATGCTACCTTCTCATTTGATACTGGTATATGTAATATAATTTATT